TGTAAGCCATGTCAAGCACGTGCTGTAGGGTTATTCATTACACTCTAACCCGACTCTAACCGGCCCGGGAATTGAACCCTGAACCTCCCGGTCCTGAAGTAAGCGGCGTACCACTGCACCACAGGATCGGTTGGTCATAGAGGATACGGTATATTAAGTCCTCATCGTGGGGAACCACAATTTATGGCGTATCCGTCGAAACGATGATGAAATGCAGCAAAGCGTTATTTAGCGGACATTGATGCAACTTGGCGCGCAATCACGACGAAAACTTCTTGTCCAACTCTCCAAATCCTTGCTCCCGAGAGCCTGTAGCAGCGCTACTCACATACCATCACCCGCGTATGCAGCGCTGATCAAATCGGTCACTGACGACGTCCCCGTCGTGATAGGAGCAAGCTCATCATCTGTTCTGCGTGACAACGCATCAGCCAAAGCATTCTGCTTTCCTGGCTTATACTTCACTTCGAAGGTATATTCTGCGAAGAATGAGAGCCACCTGGCCATCCTCTGCAAGAGGTGATACGACTGAGTTGCAGTGCGTAGTGACGCATGATCTGTGTAGATCACAAACGGTATTTAGCCGAGCATGTGCACATGAACATCCTCCATTGAAGGTGATTTCTTGTCGTTGCCTGTGTAGCTTTTCTGCAGACTCAATCTGGTGAGATTCGACCGCGATTACCCGATCTCACCTCTCAGCGTCTTCTTGCAGCAGTGGACAGCCGATTGCAAAGTCCAAAGCCTCACTAGCGACTTTGAAAAGGACAATCCAGTTCTGACAATGCCAGTATTGGTGCATGCAGAAGGCTGTATTTGAACTCGTCAAAACCCTCCCGATGCTAGGTGTCCGCATATCATTCCGCATCTTTTTAAGGTGATTTGACAATGGCCGTGTCACAACCACATAATTTGCGCTGTAATTGTACAAGCGGCTGGCGAGCAGAGCCACTTGCGCATACCCTTTTCGTTCTTTGGAATTGACCAGTTCACAATGGCCTTTACCTAACCGGGATCCGTTCGAAGGCCACGCTTCCCAAAGAAGCACCCCAAAAAGAATTTCTTCAGCACCGGGGGTGCACTTATTGGCATTAGCATACAGCTTATTCGTGCGCATGCACTCTAGCACCGCTCTCAATAGACAAAATGGTTCTCTTCATCTGCCCTCCCGTGCCCCGCACGACTGTGGACGAAGATGTCGTCGAAGTATGTATGTGCATACGCCTGGTGGGGCCTGAACAATTGCACCACAAGACAGTTAAATGTTGCTGGAGCATTTGACAGCTCTTGGGGCATCGCCAGCCACTCACAGAACATACTCACCGCTATCAGCATATATATAAAATATATATATTGACCAAGTCGAGTGCACCAGACTTGGTACAGCCAACCATATTGTTCTGGAAAGCATCTTTCCTAGGAATCGGCGTCTCTACCGGAATGCTAGCGGCATTGCGCTTATTGTAAGCGTGAACGATACGCCACTTGCCGCTCGGCTTCCGCACAAAACGTGGGTGTCGGATGGAGGGACTTGCTCTCACGCACCATTCCTGCGTCGTGCTTTGCATAAAAGAAGGCGTCAATGACGTCACATTGCTCTTGGACAGAGGCCATTGGCGTGTTACGCATTAATTGGTTTTTGGAACCAGGTTCATCTCATGACGCATACCTCGGTCCGGAGGAAAGACCGAAGGCGGGACTTTGGAGACTACGACTTTAAATTTCTTTACCAAAGGATAGTACGAATCCGAGGGATTCTTTTGGATCCACCAGGCGCGCTCGGCATTTTTGGTGTCCTCCAGGACAGCTTCATCAAGAAGCGATGACAAATTGATCTCCTTCTCCGGTCGTGTAATGACCACTTCGTCTAAATCGCCTGCCTTTAAGGCCCTGATAAACTCTTCGAAGATCATCTCGTCCAGCTTAAGAAAAGCATCCACCGCAGGAGTAGCCTCGTGGGTGATGTCGCCGTCTTCCTCTCCCGTCATACCTTTAATGAGAGTATATAGATGTGCGGATTTGTCTACGTTAGACACAAACCGTGTCAGGGTCGATGCCCTGCATCCTGCAGAGAATATACAGCGTCGCCGTTGCCTCTCCGCAGAGGTTCTATGCCTCGACGATAAATGTGGGAACACGCACTTAGTGTCGTCCAGTGTTCCCACTCCCTGCTCGTGAAGCCTTGATGTTATCTGAAACATTCGACGAAGAGCGGCTAGTTCCGCAGTCTTCGTCCAGTGGATACCGTACCACTCTATGCGCATCTGACGGGCCTTACCCAAGATGCCTCGGGCCTCGTCCGACTATGCCACTCTTGGCATGCAGCAACTGCTTTGAAACGTGAGCAGTGCTCAGTGGATTACGTGCCAATCCACGTGCATCTCCGAAACCTCGTCCTCGATGCCTCGGCTCTTGGCCAGCGATGCCGCTATTGGCATGCAGCAAATCCACAGGGTCCCTTGGCACCGTGACACAAGTCCCCTTCGCTAAGCGAAAAGTGACGGTATCACTCAACCGCGCTTTCGGCGCCTAAGCATACAGCTGGCTAGCTTCGATCGTGAAGCGTCGAGCATAATTGCCCGATGCCCCGGGATCGATCAGTATCTTTAATGGCTTCTCAAAATTCTTCACAGTCGCTTTCACACCCAGCAAACCCGACTTGCATACACGTTTCGTCTTCAAGAGCACGGAGCTATTTGGTGCTTGGCCCTGCTGCTCTGTACCTCTTTGAGGCTTTACAGAACTCAGTTTCTCTAGTAGGCCGCGCCGCGTCTAATGAGTGTTGTCGTTTCCCCCGCGACGAACCAGACTGGTGAGAAGCAGGACGTCGGTTCGATGAACCTTGACGCACCTTGCGCAGGGGAAAACCTTTCTAAAGGTGACTGGTGTGTTCCACAAACAAAACAGCGTTGGGTGTCTGAATGCTGCCCGGCACTCGGAGCGCTGCCCCCTCTTTCTCAGCATAGCTGAGATCCATTGGCGCCGTCTCGCACGACGAGCTCTAAGATTGTGCATTCCAACCAAGTCGTGCCTACATCAAGTTGGATTTGGCACTCAATGCCACTTTCATCGCTTCTTCAAAAGAAGTCGGATGTACACGGAAGACTCCCATTCTGGCCACGCTAGTGCGGGGGCCACCATGAAGACGATCACTGTGACCGCCTCGGGGAGAAGATCGGCTGCCCACTTGGCGATGATAATTACAACCCTTGGGAAAAGTCCACCGATTCCTTCTTGCCCTGTCGGGCGGAAAGGTTTCGCGATCGCGCGCGATATGCCTGGTTAGACGGCAAGAACACTCGTAACAGCTGCAGGTTCAGCTCCGTCCAGGATGGAAACGCCGCTTCAACCGAAGTACCACACGCCAGTGGCTATTCTCGCAATGGATCACTAAGCATAGACATAGCTAGCGCCACGCGTGACAACTCATTCTCGAGCATGGCGGATGCAATAGCCATCTCATCCTCTCTTACCCAGAGCATGAGATCCTCTCCACCCCTACCCTCTAAGGATAAACGCTCAATATGAGCGGGCTGTGTCGGGAGGAGTTATCCGTCACCGACGGTGGCATCTTGGACGCAGTCGACGCCGACATCTTCTGCTGTAGGCGCACGCTTATTGCTTCAGGTTCTTGCGAAGCAAGGTGTTGCACGCCCTCAGGGCCAATCGAAGACATCGGTATTTATAGCCCGATTTGCATGTCCTAGGGTAAATAGAAAAATTGCTCCATCCTCATAGAAGATCAGTCGTAACGACTCAGGCGTAGATTGACTATGTGTGCTTTCAAGTGTAGCGGGGCTGCCGTGCCTCTTTGCTTGGAGGAAGCTATGCTAAGATCACCGACCTTACGTTCTATACTAGAATCAGTACGAGTGTAGCGGATCGCAATCCGCCACCTCCAAGAGACCCGAAATCATAACCCAAGGCAAATACACTCTTCCGTTCAAAATTCAAACTATATCTTATTGTTTTTTGTTTTTGTTGCAGTAAAGCCGCCAATATCTAAAACCTTAGTTTTTCCGAATTTAATGGCAAAACCAAATCGAAATGCATAACTACTGGCAGCCCCGCCACGTAGTGGTTTCTTGTTAAGGTGTAGCCACACCATTGTGCGGTCACACCATCTTGTGGAGCCCACCCCTGCATACCGGGGTACGTGTAAACCCGTTACAGCCTCTGAGCTTAGAGACCGCAAGCGCGACGTGAATTCACTCTAAGTAAAGCATGTGGAGATATATGGCTACCGCAATCCCCTCATTCAGAGAGAGGAAGTCCCATAAGTCGTCTCTCGAATGATCGAATGCTTTACGTTGGCGAAATCAAGGTACGAACCATCTGTTTTTCTAGCGGCGCCCGTTTGTAGTGCACCTGGAATTGTCTTACAGCGTGGTGAAAGAAATGCCGCCGTCGGCCCTTTCTCTGTCAGTTATCTGATCCCATCGAGATCAACGATATATGAAGGCCTGTTAAGCTAGTCTACTTATTCCGGCGAGCATCACATGTTTCATCCTTTAAGATATAGTTCTCAGTGGTCTTCATCCAGAAAATATAGACCTCACAGTACTCGGTTTTCGGATTGACAGTGCGTTCAGGTGTAAAGGAGTTGCCGTCAATATTGCACTGATGAATTGTTGACGCATAGAGTTGGTGTGGAAAAGCGCACAGAGATTGTGTCTGTGCGGTTGTACTAGTTGTGGAACTAGGAGCATATGTATTAATTATTAGCTATCTTATTGTCTCTGCTTTTTCACGAGAGCAGATATTCGGGATAAACTCTATCTGGAATAGTACTTAATATAAAAGCTTTACTATCAAGCTACCACTGTACCATTGACTCCTCTATGTTGAACCGTATCTATTGTTCTTTTGAGAATTCGCAATAAAGCCAGCGTTTATTACAAATTTCGTACAAATATTTCGCATAGTATTTAACACATTACACCAATTAAATACACATAGATAAATCATTTACCCCAATTATATACAATAGATGCATATCATCGCAGCCTTAGTCCGTCGAGCCGTAAATATAGCCTAAGGCAGGGATGAGGGGGGAACTTCTGGACGAGATGGAGACAAAGTAGTCCATGCTTCAGACAAAGCAAAACAGCCTCGGGCTAGCGATTGCTTGGCTAAGAGGCTGCGCTGCGAATATGTGTTCGGATGTGCAGTGTCTTTGTAAAAGAGGCATTTTTGCAATGTGCTACACAACTTGATCGATTGGGCTTCGATGGCAAAAAATGACAAAAGCTGAAAGTATGTCATCCCGTATTTCAAATTTAAGACTTCTCAAGGCATTATCCGAAATGGGCACGTTCTGTACTGTTTCGTATATACACATTTCACCAATTGAGCAAAAGACGTCGAGGCAATAATTTATTGGAACTGTAAATGCTCTCAATCTTAATGGGGGGAGAATGGTACGGGGTTACACCAACCCTAATAACAGGTGTGCGTGTGTCACACGAGATGTGCATGATGTGACCACACACTCAAATAAATATACGGTACGGGGCTAGGTAACCAGTAGTTATGGATGTATTTAGATTTTACTATATATTTAGTGATTTTAGGAAGATCTGAACTTTTAACATTAGGATAGAAATATAAAGAAAAATCAGTTTGGAATTTAAACCGAAGAGTCGATTAGCCTTGGGAAGGCAATAATCACTCTTGGAGTAAGCGGATTGCTATCCGCTAATTCATACTTGGTTATTGTAAAGAACGAAAGGTCGGTTACCTAATGTACGCCTCCTCAAGCGTTTTGCTACGGCAGCCCCGCTGCACTCTGACATATCAAAACTATTTTTCCGTTCTAAGTGCGGCTTGCAACCTACGTAATCTTCTTTCGGAGTTCTATTAGCTTGATTTATACGTGACTTCAGTACTTACGAATATTCACTTTTACACCAAAGTGCAATGTTAATTTTATAAATTTATACCGTATTGTACTTTCCTCGTTAAACTTGCTGTGTATTTTGCACAGAGAAAGCTTTGTCTCAAAAAGCCCACACTTAAGAGCGGTCTTATTTTAAGAGTGTGATGATATAATAAGGACTGCTACATTTGGCCTGATTTTTAATATATACGCGCACCATTTTTTATAATAGACTGCCTTTCAACCCAAGTGTAGGAAAACATTTCAATCCTATGCATTATGGGGTCCCATTACCTACGTACTTCGGATTTGTGTTTACGCAAATAGTCTTATATAAATGCAAAGACAATAAAATACATGTACCATAAACATGCGCATTCACTAAGTCATAAAAGCAACTTGCAAATAATAAGGCTGTGAAGATTCAACCACAATATATAAACTCTGATCTTCTTTTACAACTTGCAACTAAATGTGCCACGTTAAAAAGCACCACGAGTCAAAAGAATTGAGGGACGAGCTGGTACAGCGACTAACACGACTTGAGACCTAAGATGCACTTACCGCCCGCAATGTAAGTGGCGCCTTAATTTAGCCTTTTGAGTTCTCTTACGCTTTCATCGTGCGTTAAGGAGCACTTTGGTGTAAAAGGCGCGGTAAGTTGCTTTTAGCGTAATACTGCAAGCGTTGCGGCGACGCACTGCAAAATAAAGGTTACACGATACACTAGCACCATATTATCAAGCGAGCAGTTAGCGCCATTAATATTTGAAGGTTTCTTTATTTTGAGAAAAATGTTAGTCAAATTTATGATGGATGAGCCAAAACTGCAAGCACAGAATTGCAAGGCTGCGCGTAATGGTAAGACCAGATTTTGAATGGCTTATAAATGATCCTAGGGATCTCAAATTTGTGTTCTTTTCAATTTTCGTTCATCTTCTTCTTCCATCCGCCATGTGTACGTTGCTCAAATGGTGGCGAAAAGTACGACAGCCATCTGACCGATGTAGAAATACAGGAATTTGGATTGCTCGTGCGTTACGTAGCACGCAACATTGCGTCCGACACAGCAGTGCCACAATAATCCATGATACTTCTGCTCAAAGTGCTGCTTAATTTGAGCTGATATCTCTTGCTCGTTTGTCTCGTTGGCCATAGCAACTTGGGTGACGGCAATGACCTCATCCTGGAGCTCCTGCTCCATCGTAGTCATCTTCACCACGGGCTTAACTAGATTTACCATCTGGTGAATTAGCTCCACGATTGTGGCGGCGCTTCCGTCCTTTCGGTACTCACTGTTAAGAGGCGCGATAATATGTATGTTTTAAACGACTAGCTAGCTTATTAGTTAAGCCGCGAGTACTCGATTGTATACATGGAGGCACACCAAATTGCGTCAGACTTATCACATGTAGAAGCGTCACAACTAAAGGAAAAGGAAGCTGATGCTCGGATAGCCGAAAACGATCTAGGTGGAGCGCTGCAATGTCTAACCAAGGCCATTTTCTTGCGACCGGAGCACATGCAGCTGTATGATAAGCGCGCACAAGTATACATCGAACTCTGCGACATCAAGTCAGCGATTGCAAATTACCGAAAACTCTTCGTTGTAGAGCCAAACCCTCCGCAGCGAATAAAAGACCAGCTTGCAACTCTGCTGGATCTCCAAGCCTACTCATTGCTTTGTCTGGGCGAATCCCCTCGTATTGTGCTTGGCTATCTCGATGAAGCTATCCAAATGAATGCACAAAATGAAATCTTCTGGTTTCATCGAGCAGTAGCAAAGGTTAATGCCGGTAACTTCGAAGGAGCAGTAAGGGACGTTGATCACTGCATTTTGCTCAATAATCGGGATGTCGAATATTTTGTACTTCGCGCCCAGTTGCATAGGCGTCAGCAAATGCGGGAGAACGCTGCCGCTGACATCCGCAATGCAACTCGTTTACAACCCAATCATCCAGAAGTGCTCGGACACGGGCAGCTGTTACTGAAAGAATCGCAAGCTATCTACGAACAAGCCCGGATACAACTGATGGCTCATCAGCATAAAGAGGCTATAGAATTTCTTTCCAGAGCTTCTGAAATCACACCTGGAGATCCTCAACTTTATCTGCTACGTTCGTCCGCCTACCGTGGACTTGGAGAGTATCACATGGCATTACAAGATACCGAAAAAGCTCTAAGCTGCTATCATCACAGAATGGACAGCAAAAAGGTCAAGATAGACTTTCAAAACTATCAGCATAGAACTGTAGAGCACCAGCCAGCTTTACATTCTAATTTAGAAGAATACTCGTCGCTATCGTATTGCGACATCATTAAGCAGCGAAGTCTCATTTTCAATGATATTGGGATCCGTTTTCTAATCCAAAAGGCGTACCAGCTCGCTGTGAACGCGATGAACTTAGCCATTCGTGGACATGCGGAGATAGCAGGACAACGACGATGGTATTATAGTCCACAATTGTATATTTATCGTGGTGATGCGTACCGCGGGCTTGGGAACTTCCAAGCGGTACGTACGTGGAATACTTACCCATAATCGAAAAGTTTGATATTCTTGCTACGATAAAAAGGCGTTAGCAGATTATCACTGTGCGCTGGAAATGGACATAGGGGATCAAAATGTCAAGTCGCGCGTCGCGCTAATTCACTACTACTTCGGAGTAGAGCTGTTTAACAAAGCTCAATTCGACAGGGCGGAGATAGAATTTGATCAAGCTATCGAACAGAACCCAAATTTAGCGTTGTACCACGCGAGAAAGGGAGACACTGCAAGATATCTCGATAAACATCAAAATGCATGCAACAGTTATCAACAAGCACTACTTATCAATCCAGATGACACGGAAACTCTTGTAAGTCTTTTCCTTTACTACATGGGAGGTTGTCCCAGACTATTGTGCTGTTAACCTTTTTGTAACGCAGACAAAACTCCGGCAATATGATGACATACCGTATTCCCAATCCAGCACTCAACCGACCGTGGCCTTCACAAAAAAATCTATTTCGGTGCAATCATGCTCACCGCAACATCGCCTCTCACAGAAGATGCAAGCCACTGTGAACGATGCACGAAAGTCATACAAGAAAACAAATCAGCGTGTCCAAGATCTTTACAATAGCAGACCTGCAGTGCGTTTTTTAAGTTTTAATAAACTCGAATAATCAGACAAATTTTAGCTTTGCAGCCCTAAATATCCTTGTAAATGAGATGATAATGCGGGATATGCGACCTTTCAATTGGACAACTCACAATAGACTTGCCGTGTTTTGCACCCCGATAGATAACCTGCACAGACACGAATCCAAATCGATTTTAAAGGCAAAAGTCAACGGTATTTTTCGTCTAACAAACCTCAACAAGGTCAATAAAATCTTGCTTAGTTTGGAATGAACCAATAAATTTGGTATGGTCTGGTGTACTGTGAAAGAGCATTTATATTAATCTCTGCAGCAACCAATCCTTTTCACACGCACCCGTAGTCAACTTTCATGTGTTGCCCGTTAAAAAAGAAAATAGTGGCGGGTATGATTGTAATGTCAAAATACTGGCAGTAAATAGGCATTTTCTCCGCCTCCACAATACATACTCGCGCCATCTTGAACAGCTCGCGCTCGCACCTGGCCATCTGCATTTGTATGACGTCACAAGCAAGGCCACTAATGCACATAATATCGCCATCTACGCACGATATCATCATGAAGAAGACAAACAGAGTCCGAGGCTCGACCAAATCGCAGCACCAATACACGGTCCTCGGTGCTGCGAATCGCATCATCCACTGCCGATTTGGTCGAAAGTTGTTCGATCAGAAGCGAAGCCATTCCGAGAAACTTATTTACAAATAAAATACAAACTTACTGTCTCTACCTATTTTTTTGCTAAACGGTATTGTTTTTTTAATTTACTTGTCTCCATGCCTTGTATGTTCGAAAAAAAAATGATTTCTAAATTATCATAAAAATTACAAAACTCTGAACGTTCTTCGTAAAAAAGCACTCACAAGCGAGATCAAGGTCACAACATCTTTCGTGATGACTTGATATTCTTTTCAGACTCCAGCGCTGTCTATGCAATAGTTGCGATTAGTAGGAGTCCGCTCCTGAAGACGATCACCCAAAGAAGGACGCATTTGATGACGGATTTACACGAACACATGATTTAGCATGCAGAAAACAATTACGCAGAGAAGATGAAATCGCGACTTTGACACTATCATCTGTTGTCCTCGCCACCATTAAAATCGATCGATCAAAACACGGGCACTCCACGGCAAGAGAGATGAATTTACAGTGACTCTTTACATCCTGCAGAGACTTAGTATTGAAACATATATGCTATTAAAGTCGAGGCTATTTCGCTAGGCTATATATATGCCACTTTAGTGATAACAGCTCAGAAGCAGATATTTAAATTCAATGCGTGTATTAATCGTCAATGCCTACCCGGTCTCAAGCAAGAGTGGTCGCGAGCATTTCAACCGATTTCGTCGTCACGTTACTTGTGTGGTGAGAGACTTGCAAAATACGGAAGTGACACAAGTTGAAATCGTCGTAAGGATTGAAGCCAATCACATTTTTAATGAAATTATATTGCCTTAACATTTTTGAGTGTTTTGTTACCAACACTTCAGGAGAAACACCGCAGCAACCTTGATTCTTTCTTGTTTGAAGCTCAATCAGAATTTGCCGATCCAGACAATATCACGAACTTTGACCAGCTTGATTTTGTATTTGTTGATGGTGACGCAAACTGCAGTCCTTGGGGTCCAAGCATGCGGAAGCTATTAATTCTGACTAAAATGTGTATGATGACGGGAAAATGTTTTTTTGGAAGTGGAATTGGTGCATCGCTTCTGGCATTCATATGCGCCACTGGAGGTAAACATTTGCAAATATTAAATAATGACGGAACAAAGAGCATGCTTGAGAGGCTACAGGGAATTCGCATCCCTTCCCAAGAATCGAAACGGGTCGGATCTGTATCTAATTGCGATCAAGCGACTCCTGTCCTACTTGACATTAACAGCGGAGATTTTTTTGTGTACGTCGAGCGCGAGCTTGTGTGGGCTCCAAAGGGTAATACTGGTCTAGTCCTGCACTCAAGTGACAATGAACATTGCTACGGGGCCCGTCTTAACTTTGCTCGCGCTGGAAGTAAGGAAAAAAATGCTGCCAAGATCAGTGAGCCCCTCTATCTTGCGAAACAAGGAGAAGTTAGGTGCTGTCTTCGCCTAGAAGTGGCGAATCAGCACCCCATCATTATGATGACGTTTCCGCGACTTCGAGAATTAATTCTTCTGTGTAAAAGCAAGTGGGACGTAGATCAGAAGATTGCGACAACCAGTGACAATAAGTATCGTGTGCTTATAGATAGCAGCCGCGGACCTATGTTGTTGGAATTCGGGCATTGTTTCGGCTCACATTTTGTAATGGATGATGAATACCAAAAAAGTGTAGACTTGTTGCGCAATTTTACAAAGGTAAAGTATAACGAACTCAGGGTACACAAACATATTGACCCAAGTTACAGCACAATTATAAGCAGAACTTCACGATTTATTTCTCCGGCTCAGAATAAGGGTACCGCGAATACTCGTGTCACTCGAAATAATATAAAACGACCCAGCAATACCTTTGCTTACTTGGCTACAGAACACGAAGGAGTTATAGTGGGGAAGTCGTTTTCAAAACGCTGCCGACCCGCTTCAGCTGGTCCATTTTGGCTTAAGCCACGTGGAACATGCTCAAGACGTAATCAGACGTCAAGCTTGGCTCATTTACCACCCACTGGAAGGGTAAGTTTGAAAGAAAATAATACCAGGGACATACTCTCTGTGCAAAATAGGTGGCGTGAGGTTAAAGTATGCAAGGAAATCCACGCGGAGATGTTAAAATGGTCACAACCAATGCCGCCCCGAGTTGTACGTGTGTTTCAAAAGAACGAAGTTGAAAAACCTTATTGCGCGCAGCATCGTTTTATTATGATGCGAAAGGAAGAGAAAGAACAGGGTGCTGGATTTTATTCGGTGGTAAATGACGCACCTTACACTAGTGTTTACGAGCAGGAAGCTGTCGACAAGCAGGTAAGGATTGCTGAGGAGTTTGTCAGAGAAGTAACACTCTCTGCTGATTAACTCCACTGATTTTAATACCATACAGAGAAGCAAGCAACGATGGATCGGGGGGCCCTTCCGTACTGCTATTGGGAAGGCGTCAATGCAGGTGGTGCCAGAGGTTAGCATTTTTTTGAACGACTCGTCTGTGTAAGAAAACGACAACTTAACACAAACGATTTTATCAGAAGTAAACACGTTGAAAACGTTATCGTTATCAATCAGGTCGCGCCTTTTTACCTAACCAGCACATATACCGTTCGCGGTGTTTCTAGCCAGTCAATTGTACTGAGCGATCGCTTGGACCAAATCCTTTGCCTCGTGAGCAAAGTTGACAGGCTCTATATTCACAACACTAGCCTTTACACGGAGCTCCTCCTGTACATTCTCGGCCTTTACGCGAAGACGGCAGACGTACTGCTTAAATAAGACACCTTTGAAAACTGACTCGTACAAAGCCATGTTGGTATCACGGAGCTCGCCTATTTCATCGGCTGTGCGGCCACCCATCACCACCTTGCCTTGGTCATCAAAGCACGTCGTAAACGTGCTTCCTGTATGATCCAGCATAACTACCGAAAGAATGTAGCGGTTTTCACAGTTAGGATAGGAAGTCTGGCATTTCTCGCATGTATAATTTTGAGCTACATCAGCCACAACCTTCTTCTGGCACTTCGGACATGCCTGGTAGTAGACACCAATATCATGCTTGATGAAATTTACTGTTCCCTTGATCGTGATGTAATCGGGCTTTTGGCCGAAGCCAAGCTGCTTACCATTGATATCGCTAATGACCGCGCGCTCGCCAAATCTTCCGAGCGATCCACCACCAAAGCCACCACCACCAGAGCTAAGAGACTTGGCTTGAATCCCACTGCCTCCATTAGAAAACCAAGTGACAAGGTGTCCTGCTTCTGGAATAGCTGGATTAACGACAAAGCTAGAGCTCGTTACCGTGCCGATCGATCGGCCGTTGTACTCACTCACCCGACATCCTTTAATTGCTAAGACTTGGTTCAGCCAGCCAGAGCAATCTTCCTGCGCTCGCTCATTCCACATTGTGCACTTAATCTCAGCGTTAGAGTCGTCGACAAGCGAAATATCACGCTTGAATAGCTGCTTGCCAGCCTTAGATGTGATCTCAGTTACTGGACCAACATCTCGCACAACGGCAACAACATCGACACTCGAATCACTAGGGATGCTCTCAATATCAGCAATTTTTTTAAACGAGTAGTGCATCTGTGAGATCTGCCCGTCTTCCGGGGCCGGTGAAATCTCGGAATGCTGATCGAATGTCACTTCGTAGTCGTTGTCCATCGACGAAAAACGACGATTGGCCATCTTGACCTTGCCACCAGCGAAGTAAAAAATACAGCCAGGACGCAGCATTTCGTAAAATTTGTCCACACCATCATTGAAAAAAGTGGCCCGGATTTCGCCACCCTTTGCGTCTAGCAAGTCCACACTAAAGAGCTTGCCAGAGCCTCGAGTATTAGTCCAGGTTTTTACAGGAGCGCGAGTCGTCACGCGAGCCTTGATGGTCCACCGACCGCCGGCGTATGGGTTCAAACTATGAATATCCGAGAGACGAATGTTCAGATCCTGGCGCACGACAGGCCCGCGGTTGTATACGGGCTGCGCAGACTTTGCGGGCGGTGCATAGCTCGATGGAACAATAGGAGGCCGATTAGACTGCATAACAGTTTGCGCATGAACTGATGGTCTTGCTCCGAGAGAAGCGGCTGGTGGAGCTGCAATTGCAGGGGCAGTAGATATGCAAAAACCCTTGGAGCTTTCTATATTCTCCGGTGATCCAATACAATCGAAAGCAGGAACAATGTCGCCGATTTTGAGCACGATTATAATCCGACGGCCCTGTACTTCATTGCTCAAATAGTCTTTCAGTTGTAGGACAAAGTTTGATTTTAGACTCTCTTTCTCCATTAGCTGCGACAATAAAGCGACAAATTTAGAGTTATACTGGTAAGAAATAGAGTCATACTTACCGGTGCCAGCTGAGTCGCAAGCATTCCACTTATGTAAGAAGTGCCGTCCGACAGCATGATGCTGACACGGTCACAGTACATGAGGCTTTATCCACATCGTATATTTTTTGTGCTCGTACCGGTATCTGTCGCCGACTGCACCACTCGCTGGCTTAATTTTCTTTATGTCGATAACCTGGAGCCATGGTTCGAAGCCTTCAGGGGCCTGACTGTGGTACAACATTGACACCGCGTTGGGTGTAAGGTTAACCATGCTTGCTTGCGAAAGTGTGGGAATGTCATTTTGGCGCCGAATTTGCGGAGTTTATGTTTTCCACACCACTGCTCTTTTTGAAGCAAAACGTCAGGTCTGTTATTCTGAATACACCCTCGCTCTCTCTTACTTGAGGTACTACATTTCGGGGTCAACGGGGTATGTACTGGAACTGTTTTATACACAACATACAATTTATCATTAACATACATTAAATACATATTTTTTTATTACCCAGAATCAACTAATAAATGTTAAAGAATGATTAAACTCCAGGGGTACATCAATTTAAATTGTTAAGCAACCTAAGCAACTCAGATATGTTAAAGGGTCTCGGCCTCGTTTCGGGTAAAGCGTACACTTTTAACTTTTAAAAGTGTTAGCGCGGACTCTTTGAATCGATCTATATCTCTCAAAGTGCATCACAACCCCATTGTACTTGGTAGTACTTGTAGTTGCCCACGATTATGTCGTGAATAGACTGTATTCTTTCAAGGATGAAATACGAGCTGCCCGATTACCTGTCAACGGGACAAATAGACACGCTTAGAAACCCTATGTCTATTGTTGTTCCCGATGAGCCAGGGAAGTGGCAAACAGCGCTGGGTTTCCGCCTGGAAGCGCTCGCCATTTATGAGAATGCTCTGGTGTAGCATCATCAGAAGCGCCCTAACCCGGCATCAATGAGAGCACAGAGTGCACCCACCGCATATTGAGCGTGGTCCCTTGATGACAGCGAAGGAGGGTCTTATACCCTCGAGATAAAAGAAGTTGAAATGGCCATAAGTTGAGCCATGCTTCTGGTGGAGCAGCAGCTATTCGTACTCGTGGTTTCCAAGCTAGTAGGCCATGCGCGAAAATGGGGACAAACGCGCAATATTCCTGTCGGAAGGGGTATTTTCAAGAGGTAAAAATTCAATGCAACATGTGTTGCGAGTGTTCACACCGCATAACCAGTTGTATTGACTGCTTCTTGTCCATTTTTAGCGAAGCAAAATTAAAGGGCTATTTTCAAGTGTTGAGAGCGCCAACATGACATGAAAACCTCTCTCGGGTGTGGTGACATTAACCTTCTTCGAAGAGGGTCTCTAAGTGTGTGTGGCTCACACCGAAATCTTTCGCGTCCATCCTACCTCTATAGCGGGAGCGACTGTTTCCGCAATAAATGCGAGTCGAACTTTTGTGCCATGAAAGGGCGGTTGGGGTTCCAGATGTGGAAGCTCTACAACGCTTCAGATGCAATCGGTTTTGTCCTGCTAAGGAGAAAAAGATTGGAGTACTGGCTTCTGAGTTGCTTTGTGGTACTCATAAAGATTACAGAACGAAAAAACGCCCTGTGTGGCCTATCTATGTTGGTTGAGTGGCTTAAAGGGTCGGGCTTGCCAAAGGATGGTGTCACGTATGAAACGGGCTTGTTGAGACAGAACACCTTCCCGACAAACGATGCCGAATATTCGTGGCAAATTGGGCATCCTTGCGATAACGTAATTAAAACCACTATTGCGAAACAAAAACCGATCTTTAACGAAAAATGTGCCTCAAATGTGATCTATTGCACTTTTTTCGGCACTGTTTACCTTTTCGATGGGTATTATGAACTGCTCATTATAGACAGCAATAAACGATTCGTTGCGATCATTGCTCCAGGACAGATGCTCCGATAAGTGGGCAATTCTGCACAGCAGCAACGTTCAATTTCCTGTGCACACCACAACATGGCTCAGCGAGCCTTCGAAAACAGCACCGTTTATGCGACAACATAAAGTTCATACTTGGTGATGGGCTTGAGGTATCATATGATGAGAGTAATTGCAGCGACTTATCAAGTCAGTTTTAATCCACCTCCTCTCTCATGCGAAGGCACACGGCTGAGTCTCTCGTGGGGGAAGTACCTAATACGTTACTCCTCCTTTCTTTTCCATTTTCAAGCTTCATGCCTGTTCCCAGCAGCGCAAAGAACTGCAAAAACACGTCGCGGAACTCTTGATGTCGTCCAGCTTAATACTAACAAGCTGACCTTGACTCAGGGGTCATGATCGCCCAGTTGCGAACGCATAAATCGCGATGACTCTTTTCAATTGCATACTTCCGAAAAAAGGAGCTTAAGCTATCCGAAGCAGCTCGTCGCACTAAGACGAGCCCTATGCGTGCGTTGTGCCGCTTACATTAGTATCAAAACGAGCGCCCGGTAGGGGCTTCTCCATTGCTTTACGAGCCCACAGAGCACATCTTTTCCAGGTCACCTTCTGCACATAGAGAAGCAATGGTTGGATAAATTCACACTATTACATTTGTTTTTATGCTAATAAATTACCGCGCTAAACTTCGCGCGTTAGTTGATATAGGCATATCGCCTCACAGTCTTATTGATATACAAAGTCAATGCAGTAAGGTAGACATTTGACTAGAGCGTCGATAATGCTTGGCGTTGCGTCGAGGTGAAAACGCATCACCCCCAGTTATTACTGCGAACAGCCCCGCATGTCTCTATTATTTATTAGATAATCGTCTAACTTTCGATTTTAGAATAAGATTGGTTCTGACTTACTAATCGAAATTTTGCAGTGACGATGTATAACACAAAAGAACTTTGCATGTTCGCCGGTGTATTGTGAGTGCATCTCGTACCTTTCTTTGCTATGACCGTGTGTGGTCTATTGTAGCGTTTCCTTATTTACATTGACCGCAGACATTGCATGTGCAGGTTGGCTAACAATATTTGCGCAACTAAGTCTGGCACCGTGGTCTTTCCGCGCAGGTATGCTGGAAAATATCTTCTGCCACGCTTTTAATGTATTTCATTTGAACATCTGCTTGCGATGGTCAGCAATGTGCATGTATGATCTGTTGCCCAACACTAGGAACAACGTTCGCCAAATCTCGCGGACTTTGATCCAATGCAATGACCAGTAGCAAACAATACCAACAAAAACCTTTTGTAGAGGAACGGCATGGCTGTCCTGTCGGTAACGGTATTGCTGTCTGCAACAAGATAAACATTCTATTCACAAATCGTAGAAGGCCGGGCTAATTGGATAATGTGCCTGATATACTTATGGACTATTAAAATTCGGCTAAAACCGTACCTTTATTGGAACACCTCACACGCGCGCACCTTTAGCACTCTAGAGCGGTGGGTATTTTTTCTTTGGAGATAGTCACCCATCATGTTCTTCGTACAGTATTCAGTACTTAGGTCAGAACCATGAGGTATCACCACGCGTTAGATATCAAGCGAGTTAGTGCTGTAGTACACCAAACCTGGAATAGCGGTGCGAACGCGTATACAACCACTTCGATTGAGTGACATGTGAGCTTCCAATTTATGCTTTCAAATCTTCAGCAATCTGACACATGTTGCGTCTTACCCGAACGCTGTATGTGGCGCATCATCAATCGACGCATATGCGACAACTCGTCATAGGGCGATACGAAAGTGTATCCGCCATCACATTAATCCAACGAAACTCATAAGTCAATTCGAAGGCGAGCTTGCTATTCTCCGTGAGAGTCGTGATAACGAGGTCGCTAAGAGAAATGATGCACGACGCAGGTGATCACGAATGGCTTAGAGCCAAGCAAGTTAATTTTCCCACAAGAATGACAAAAGAATAACTCAGTGTGAGCTGCTGATCGTCGTGAACAAGGTGATCTCCCTCTACCGCTTCGAACTGCGAGGATCGAATGCGGTTACGTGTTTGTATCCATTAAGATCAGCTAAGATTAAAGCACAGCCTACGATAAAAAATGGCGAAAAGCAATGACTGACCGGGATTCGAATAAGCCTGGGTAAGCTCTCACGTTCAGCCTCAAAAGGCACCTCCCCTACCGAGCTTTCACATCGTCTGACATCCTTCAAAAGCGATAGATGAGAAATCACGCCATAATATTTAAGCGAGAAGCTGGTCAGACCAAGTTGCAACTTTTGGGACAGAAAGATCTAGCCAATCGATGATGGCCTTTTATCCTGCGGGGTCTGCCCTCTGGCCAGGCTTACCAATGAAGTATTCTAGAAAGTATTTGTCGGCGCAACAAGCACACTTATGTGGGCTGGCAAGCAGCTTATTGAGGCGCATACACCTGAACACTATTTGCAGGTAATTCTTGTGGCTATCCGCATTTGACTCTTCGTGCTTTGCACAACTATGGAGGGAAATAATGTCCAAATAGGTTTGTCATAGCCAATATGAGGTCGAAACAGCTATCTCACCGCAAATATAACCTCAGAAGCCGGCTCTCCAAGATACATGAGTAAAGCCAGACTGTGTGCGTCTTGGGCGCGCGCTGTCACGCATAATTGAAATGACCAAGATATGTGAGCCTATATCTGTCAACATTTCATGAGTAGTGTACGGGTATTCCTGTATTTTTAAATTAGTTACACCTTACAGTTGGTTTCATTCGTTCAAGATACAGATTTGTACGATTTTTCGATTGACAATACACTGTAATGTGATTATGAATGCTCAGAAGTACCAAAGTGTCGGTACTGAAAAAGGAGAGGTTATTTCGCAATCAAGATATCGGCGGTACACATGGGTTGTTTTCCGCATCTCAAGCAATTGATATGGCTCTTATATTGGATTAGGTACATAGTATATTTGCACTACCAGCTTCTTGACTGGGCCCACTCGCTGGTCGGAAGCTCACAGTCCACGACAACCCTAAAAAGATAAAGACTGAGGATTATAAGACGTAAACGGTAACGGTACAAGGGGACTGTTCTTATCAAACTCCTATGAGATTTCGGATCAATTTGTTTTAGCCCGCTTCATTTAATACTAATATCAGCCCTGGTCATCACTGCTTGATCCACATAATGTGGGTCACCTTATGCTCATCAAGCACTGTCAGTGTAAGACTATCTTTCGGTGGCTGGCGAATGAGGCTATCTCTTATCGTGATAAACCTGCTGGACAAATTGATCACATGCTAGTTGAATCGAATCGACAGCTCTTTTACTGAATGTTATCCTGCACCATGCAACAAGCGCGTTCTAT